TTTTTTTTTTTTTTTTTTTTTTTGCTGAATAATATTCCATTATATGAATAGATCCATTTATTTATCTAATCTCTTATTGAGGGACATCTTGATTGTTTCCAGTTTTTAGCTATTATGACTAAAACTGCTACGAACTTTCTTGCATGAATCTTTTTGCAGACATAGTCTTCCATTTTTCGTAAGTAACTATAGCTTTTTATACTTCTTAAATTTTTGAATCTATGACTGAATTTTGTGAAACTAAATCAATAAATTAAGAGCAACCTGGTGAGGCATTGTCTCTACAATAAATCAAGCAAAATTGGCCAGGAGTGGTGGCGCACACCTATAGCTCCAGCTACTTGGAAGGTTGTGGCAGAAGGATCTCCTGAGTCCAGCAGGTCGATGCTGTGGTGGCCGTGAGCGTACCACTGCCCTCCAGCCTGGGCAACAGAGTGAGACTCCAACTCAAAAAAAAAAAAAGAAAAGAAAAATTCAGCTTTTTCATTTCTTTTAAAAAAAGAGACTGGTGACTGGGCATAGTGGCTCACGCCTATAATTCCAGTACTTTGGGAGGTTGAGGCAGGAGGATTAGTTGAACCCAGGAATTTGAGGCAACCTGGGCAACAGACATAGACCCTGTTTCTACCACAAAAAAGAGAGAGAGAGACTAGAAAATTATGTTAAGAAATAAATGTTCTCTGTACCTCCAAAAGTATTCTGAATTGCTCAGTGATATCCTACTGCATGTGTAATCAGGTGTAAATTCCCTTGCATGGCAATGATGGCCTTACAGGATGCTCCTAGGATTCTGTTACAAGTTATTCACAGTTCTTCAATACACATAGTATTCGTCTGCCTCTGACTTGTCATGAGATTCTTCATACAAAGAGATTTCTCCTTTCACTTCTGCCAGTCAAAATCCTGCCCATTCTTGAAGGCCTGTTTTAGTTCTACTTACTCTGAAACCTTTCTTTGTGATTTATTTACATAAAACACTGGAGTAATTTCTGTCTCCTTTGAGCCCCTGTACCATCCATTATCCATGTCCGTTTCCTAGCAATTTTTTATGTCCTGATTACTATATGTTTTCCTGTTTTTGTCTTGTATGGTTATTTATATTTTAAATTATTATTTATAGCCGGGCTTGGTGGCTCAGCCTGTAATCCCGCACTTTGGGAGGCTGAGGTGAGTGGATTGCCTGAGCCTGTGGGTTCGAGACCCGCCTGGGCAACTTGGCGAGACCTCATCTCTGCAATAAATAAATAAATAAATTAGCCGGGTGTGGTAGCGCGGGCCTGTAGTACCAGCTAATTGGAAGGCTGAGGCGGAAGGATCGCCGGTCGAGGCTGCGGTGGCCAGGAGCAACCACTGCACTCCAGTCTGGGTGACAGAGTGAGACTCCAACTCAAAAAAAAAAAAATTTTTTTTAAATTTATGTCTTACTTCCAAGATGACACTTTGTTTTTTTTTTTTTTTTGAGTTGGAGTCTCATTCTGTGGCCCAGGCTGTAGTGCAGTGGCACATTCAACGGTCACTGCAGCCTCGACCTGCTGGGATCAGGTGATCCTTCCACCTCAATCTTCCAAGTAGCTGGCATGTGCCACCATTCCTGGCTAATTTGTTTGATGTATTGTAGAGATGAGGTCTTACCATGTTACCAAGACTGGTGTCAAACCCGTGGGCTCAGGTAATTCTCTTGCCTCAACCTCCCAAAGTGCGGTGATTACAGGTGTGAGCCACCATGTCACCGTGCCTGGCTGACTTAAAACTTTTAATAGCAAGAATGATGTCTCCTGTTGCCTAGCAGTTTGCTTATTTACATATTATATGCTCAGTAAATTATAAGATTAATTTGAGTCTTTCTCTATCCAGGGTGAAAAGAAGATAAAGACAACAGTACTAACAGCTGCACTTCTGTTATCTGGAATTCCTGCTGAAGTGATAAATCGATCAATGGATACTTACAGCAAAATGGGCGAAGTCTTCACAGATCTCTGTGTCTACTTTTTCACTTTTATCTTTTGTCATGAACTGCTTCATTATTGGGGCTCTGAAGTACCTTAAGCCAACTCAAAAGGAGAAGCTTAAAAAAAGAAACAGTTACTCTTCTATATTGCAGTGTCTCTAAAGGAGGCAAATTGGTTTATACCTTTATGCAATTTTTTTACTTTATAGTGGTTGTAAAACCACTTTATTAGGAATGGGATGGCAGGTTCCCTGATTTTAAAAGGGTTGAGTTTGTATTAGTACTGATATGAAGAATAGAGTACCAGTGTCATTCATTGGTTTTCCTTGTTTAATTAGAATCCCTATTCTATACCTTCCCCTAACATCTCAGATTTGTGTTTCTCTTGGGGGCTCAGTTAGTGCTTTTAGGAGAGCAGATAACATGGTGTCATCCCTAAAGACTGCTGCTTGTATTTGTGTTATTCTGTTCTGAAAAATGAAGTCATCCAAAAAATAAAATGAAAGAAACTGAATTGTCTAAGGTTAAATCTGCACATTGTAACTTTTCTTGTTAAGTATCTTAATTTTTACTCCAGCACAAATATTTAATCAAATGATTTATACCTGTGAAATTAGAAAGTATTTATATAGTTTTTATTTGCTGTATGCCAAATTTATATTTGAAATTTTTTTTTTTGTAAATTTCTGCTCTTGGGTTTTCAATTTTCTTTTTTCCTTTTTATTCTTTAGTCAGAGACTCACTCAGTTGCCAAGGCTAGAGTACAGTGGTATGCTTATAGCTACTGCAGCCTCAACTTACTGGGTTCAGATGATCCTTTCACTTCAGTCTTCCAAGTGGCTGGAACTACAGGAATGCACCAACATGCCTGTCTATTTTTTGATTTATTGTAGAGACGAGGTCTTGCCAAGTTGCCCAGTCTGGTCTCAAACCCGTGGGCTCAGGTAATCCTTTCGCCTCTACCTCCCAAAGTGTTGGGATTACAGGGATGAGCCACCATGCCTGGACCAAAGGATGTTTTTTGTTTTGTTTTGTTTTGTTTTAAAGAAATGAGAACAGAATGGTTAGATATAAAAATGGAATCTGAAGAATTGAGGGTATGCAACCCAATAACATAAATACCGTTTCCTTCCCTCAGTGTTATAGATGAATTTCCCTAACTTGGTATTTAGAAGGTTTGTCTTCTTTTTTCTTTTTTTTGAGTTGGAGTCTCACTCTTTGTCACCCAGGCTGGAGTGAGTGCAGTGGCACATTCACGGCCACCGCAGCCTCGACTTACTGGGCTCAGGCAATCCTTCTACCTCAGCCTTCCAAGCAGCTGAAACTACAGATACATGCCACACGCCTGGCTAATTTTTTTATTTATTGTAGAGATGGGGTCTCCCCATGTTGCCCAGGCAGATCTGGAACCTCTGGGCTCAGACAATCCTCTTGCCTTGGCCTCCCAAAGTGCTGGGATCCTGACTGGCAGAATTGTCATGTTAATGTGTTATCCCAAAGGGGAGTTAGAAATAAAGTATCTTCAAGAGGGCTCTAGCCCAAGGGTTTTAGTTCCAGTGTAGATTCCAAAAAGATTAGTGATCTAGGAATAAATACATTTCCTGAAGTTTTGTTTTTTTACTTAAAATCAATAAATTTGAGTGTGATTTAAAAGTCTGTAACATGGCAACAGACACTTTTGCTGTTGTCCTGCGTGTTGTGCCTTTCACAACATCTCTCCTAAATAAATCTTTTTTTTTTTAGTTTAAAAAAATTCTGTAACATTAACCAGTAGTGGTGGTGTGTGCCTATAGTCCCAGCTACTTAAAACTGAGGCGGGAAGATTGCTTTACCCCAGGAGTTCAAGGCTGAAGTGAGCTATGATCCTTCCTCCACCAAATCTGGATCCCATGCCTTTCCTATATGCATGCACCATAGCTCTACTGGATATCTGGGAGTCATTTTTTTTTTTTTTTGAGTTGGAGTCTCACTCTGTCACCCAGGCTGGAGTGCAGTGGCATGCTCACCGCTACCATAGCCTTGACCTGCTGGACTCAGGCGATCTTTCCGCCTCAGCCTTCCAAACAGCTGAAACTACAGGCTTGGGCCACCATGCCCAGCTAATTTTTTTATTTATTGTAGAGACAAAGTCTCGCCATGTTGCTCAGGCTGGTCTTGAACCCCTGAGCTCAGGCAATCATCTTGCTTCTGCCTCCCAAAGTGCTGGGATTACAGGCTTGAGCCACTGCTCCTGGCTGGGAGTTATCTTTATTTCTTCCTTTCCCTCATAGCTCACATCCAATTTTCCAATTAGTGCTTTTTTTTTTTTTTTTTTTTTTTTTTTGAGTTGGAGTCTCACTCTGTCACCCAGACTGGAGTGCAGTGGCCGCTCCCAGCCACTGCAGCCTCACCTGTTGGGCTCCGGCGATCCTTCTGCCTCAGCCTTCCAAGTAGCTGGAACTACAGGCATGTGCTACCACACCTGGCTCATTTTTTTTTTTGATTTATTGTAGAGATGAGGTCTCGCTGCCCAGGCGGGTCTCGAACCCATGGGCTCAGGCAATCCACTCACCTCAGCCTCCCAAAGGCGCGGGATTACAGGCTGAGCCACCGAGCCTGGCTGATTAGTGCTTTAAATCTGGGTCAAGAATGTGACCACTTCTTGCTGTCTCCACCGTTGAAGCCACTAGTGGCTTGCTATGTTTCAGACCGAAATCCCCATTCCTTGCCTGCAGTGGCTCTGATGCCTGACCCTCTTTGGTGTACATCCTGTCACATTAGTTCAGGCCTTCTGACTCTTGGTGTTGACTACAGGATCCTCCAGGATCTGCCCCTCTTCCCTGCTACTCACTGCTACTGTCTGTACAGCATGGGGAGGAGAGAAACAGTAACTCACCACCAGACATTCTGAATCTTGACTGCACTCTAGAGTCACCTGGGAAGCCTAAAAATTCCCAGGGCACAAGAAACTCCCCGGGCCAATCAAACCAGAATGTTGGGATGGAACCCAGGCATCCGTTTTTATTTTTTCTACATCCAGAATGCAGGGGAAAAAAAGGTTTTAAAGCTTCCCAGCAGGGCGACATGGCTCATGCCTGTAATCCCAACACTTTGGGAGACCAAGGCGAGTGGATTGCTTGAGCCCAGAAGTTCAAGCGTAGCCTAGGTAACCTAGCAAGACCCATCTCTACAAAAAATTAGCGAGGTGTGGTGGCGTGTGCCTAGTGTCCCACTGGGGAGGTTGGCTTTAGTTATCTATGGTTGTGCCAACGCACTCCAGCCTGGCAACAGTGAGGCCATCCCCCCCTAAAAGTAGGCAGTGTTGACAACCATTATAATCGTCCTCTTCACCAAGTTAACTCCTAATCAGTCTTCAATTCAAATCTCACCTCAAAGATCACTTACTTCCTCAGAGAATTCTTTTTTCTAAATCTTGTGTTTATTTTGCTTATGTCTCCCTGAAAGGAGGGAGTCTTAAAAATTTAGAACATAATGTAGCCGTTGTAAATCAGCATAGTTATTTTGCTTAGGCCTCATCCCTTGACATTCCCTTGCTGTGCAGTTTGCATGGCCCCCACGTCCTTTTACCCTATAATCATTAACAAGAAAAATACTTTTAGAAATGATGATAACACAGACCCCTTAAGCATGTCTGGTCTTGCTAACAATCTATCTTTTAGGCAATTGTATTGATACATTGTTATTGGCCACCCCTGATGACTTCCAGCACACCACTGCGAGTCCTGTTTATTGGTATATTGTTATCGTAGGGCCATGACAACCTCCGGCCCACCATCTGAGATCATGAGACATTGATGCCTGACGATGTCAAGATACATGTGACTGCTATGGAAACCAAGGAATACCACACTGGACGTTCCTTTTGACCCAGACCTCCTCCAGGTCTAAGCCCCTCTTTGCTTTAAAGGTCCTTAAATATGCCTCTTTTCCAGCCTTCCCCACCACACTCACCTGAGTGCCATCCCCCTTCCATCTGTGAAAGGCTAATCATAAACTTTACTTCCTTCTATTTTCCTCTTTATTGCAATCTTGCATTATTCCTGTGGCACCAGCCCACCTTGCCTCAGTTTATTCTTTCACTCCCTATGTTGCCCAGGCTGATCTGGCACTCCTGTCTCAATTCCTGTCGGCCTCCTAAGTGTTGGAATTACAGGAATGGCTTCTGTGCCTGTTTGTGTTTTCAGTCATGTCTATTCATCTCACTACACCGTGAGCACCCAATGATCTAGCACAGGCCTGGCACATGACAACGCATAAGAACGAATGAGGGAGCCGGGCTCGGTGGCTCAGCCTGCAATCCCGCGCCTTTGGGAAGCTGAGGTGAGTGGATTGCTTGAGCCCGCCGGTTCGAGACCCGCCTGGGCAGCAAAACCTCACCTCTACAATTAAAAAAACTCAGCCAGGCGTGGTAGCGCATGCCTGTAATTCCGGCTACTCCAAAGGCCGAGGCGGAAGGATCGCCGGAGCCCAGCAGGTCGAGGCTGCGGTGGCCGGCAGCGGCCACTGCACTCCAGTCTGGGCGACCGAGTGAGACTCCAACTCAAAAAAAAAAAAAAAATAAATAAATAAATAAAAGAACAAATGAGGGAATGTATAAAGAATAGAGAGTGTATTTAGAGATGGTTGTAGCATTCTTTTGCGCAAATAAAGGCGTACGTCAGTACAGGCCGTGGGGCAGCAGCTGGCTGCCCAGAACGCCTCCGTGGCGGTTGCAGGAGAGGCTTTTCTCTCAGGGTGGTTAGGCTGAGGCTCCGCCCTGCATCGCAGCGACCAGGGCGCCGGGGCGGTGCGTCCTCCAATCGCAAGGTGGCGCTGTGACGGGGGCCAGCTGCTTCCGGCTGGTTTATCCCTTTCTTCTGCAGCCGGCGCCCGCACGTCCTGTTTTCGTTGGCCAGGCTGGGATGGCCGCCGCCGCTGCAGCTGCTGCCGCTTCTTAGTGCTGGTTCTTGTCGGTCTCGCCGAGGGCAGCGTAGTCCCCTTCTTTGTCCCGCTCGCCTGCGCGTCGTACCCAAGGGGCCGGCTTTCCCGTGGCCGGCAGCATGGGCCGGGAGTCACGGTGAGGGCATCGAGCGGGCCAGCGAGCGGTTCCTCGGGGTCGGGAGAAGAGGCGGGAGTGGAGGTGGCCGCCGGTCCTAGCTTTTATGGCATTTGCTTTTGGGAACTTGGTAAAAAATTTGTTGATTACTCTGATGTACATAAGGTTGTTTTCTACATTTTCTTCTAGGATTCTTAAGGTTTGAGGTTTCACATGTAGGTCTTTGATCCATTTAGAGTTGGTTTTTGTATATTGTAATAGGTAAGGGTCCAGTTTGATTCCTCTGCATGTGGTCAACCAGTTTTCCTAGTACCATTCCTCTGCATGTGGTCAGCCAGTTTTCCTAGTACCATTTGGCAAATATGGTCTCCTTTCCCCAGTGGTTGTTATTGGTGGTTTTGTCAAAGATGAGTTGGTTGAGAGACCAAATTTTTGCTTCCAAAATCTCTGTCCTGTTCCATTGGTCTATATGCCTATTCTTGTACCAGTACCAG